AAATGTGACCTAACTTCATATTCCGGGATACCAGTATCAGTATTTAATTCTAAGGTAAATCATTATCCGTCTGATATAAAAACATTTATTTCGATACATATACATTTATAAAAATTACAAATCACGTAATACTTTACTTTATAAAAGTAAAAGTAACAATAAATTTGTAGGGCCTAGCTTCATCCTGATAAACGACCGAAACAATAAAATTCAAAAAGTCACCAACAAATCTGGGATTATTGAATAAAAATTGTGTATTTTAGTATTTATGAAAAATTTTGAGATATTTTTAATATTTTCTAACATATAGAGAATATTTTTTATTCATGATTTTTTTCGTTCGTCTTCGCGGACCCCCTAGGATTTTGCTACGGACCACTAGGGGTCCGCGGACCCCCTTTTGGGAACCGTTGCCCTAGACATTTCAGTCTCGAGATTCTGTATCCTAGGACAGTAGCAAAATATATAGTCGATCGACTCTATTTATTCCTCATCTTGGCACAACCTGCAATAGTCCGGTATATATTGCTGTCCCACTTACTAACAAAGGCCCTAACTGAGCAGTGTCCAGTTAGCATCCCTATCAGAATCCTTAGACTGCGTCTATCCAGTATTTGGTAGCCCCCATATCAAGTTTTGGCCATAGGACCTTTGATATTTTGAAATCCAATCTACTATTCCAGGACTGGTCTATGATGTCACGGAATCTTTCGAGTATCAAACTATAATAATGACAAATGGGTGGTTTTATTATCCTTTCTCTGTCATCTATATTAAGGTTCGAACCTAATCTAGCCAGTTCATCCGCAACCTCATTACCTTGTACATTACAGTGCCCCGGCACCCTACACACTGTAAAGGCAAACATTCTCATAATGTCCCTAAGGGCCTCTCTACAATCTACAAATAGGCACGAATGTACCGTGTGACAAGTTAATGCTCTAAGTGTAGCTTGACTATCAACATAAATTGTCACAACTGTCCCCGGAACGATATGATTCCGTATCAGCTACGTCGCTGTAAATATTTCAACACTTTAAAAGTTTCCAAAATTCCTATAGTAGTAATGTGTATCGTTTCATTGCTCACATTGACTTCGAAGGACCATATAACGTTTTAGATTAATATTTTAAATAGCGCTTTGAAGCCTACCAAACTGGTTTCTTAGTTCGAACTTAAATTTCTTTAAAGCACTCAAAACTTCATTCAAAACTACGCAAATAAAATAACAAATATTTATGATTTTTCAGATAGAAGAAAGAAACCACTTGACATTAATTTACATATTTAAACCACTTCAATAAAATGCCTTAGGTCTTAGGTAGGGTATTGACATGATCTGTTCTCTCTAAGATATATTCAAAACAAATAATTACAAATACATATTCTCCCCCTTCCCCCAAAATCTATTGAATGGGAACTGTTTTATTATAGTGGATAATCTATCTATATATCTTGCCCACAGTACCGTCTGCCAGCGAAAAGAGAAAAAAACAAATATTTCTTTTGCTACTGCTGGTTTTGCTACTTAATGTTGTCATAACTTAAATACTAGACAGACTTTTTTAAAACATTTTTTTTGAAAAGAAATATTTCAAAACCAAAAAAAAAAAAAAAATCAGCTTGTTAATGTATTAGTTCGAAATTCTTTTAGGGTGTGTGTGTAAATTATTAGGTTTTTTTAGTCTCCTCATCACCAAACAGCATTTATTTACTCTGTTGCGATTTTAAAACACATTTTTGTTTTTATAAAATATTTCTTTTTTGTTTTTCAAAAAAGAAACTGCCAAAAAATCGATTTGATGAATATCAGAGTATAAATATTAAACAAATGTTTATTATTCTCGTCTAATGCATAGAATTTATTAATAAAATTAACAAAAAAAACTTTTTCAACGAGTAAATAAATGTGGGATTTTTTTCGAAATTCTCTCTAAAAATATTTGACGTTTATTATTTTGGGCTTTTTTTTAACTACAGTCAAAAAATGCCGTGTATAACTTATAAACAAATCATTTTTGTACTGAGTGTTTGAGAGAAGATTTGAAAGAATGTAATCTTTTTATAAAAGTTAGTTAGCGTTTAGCCAAATCCAGACTTGGTTTAATTTTCGAATTCTCTACTTAAAATTTTGAAGTTCAAACTAGTCTATGTAGATAAATCGGGCAACAGTTCGTATCTGTGATTATGGACGATCTATAGGATTTATAGTCTCTGAAAAAGTATACAAAGTAATACTTTAATACTTGGAGAAATAATGCAAAACAGAATTCAGATCGTGTAGATCACTTCGTTTTGAATACACTATACACTTTGGGAATGAAATTTTTAGAAGGATCTTCAGTCTCTATGAAAGTATTCGAAAACTTATTAAGAATCTTTGCTCTTTCTTTAGGTGGGAATTAAAAGCCTATGAACTATATGAATAGATCTTTAGTCTTTGCCAAAGGTTAAAGAATCTAAATTGCTTGAAGATTCTTGGTGTTGACTGGGTTAAACTATCCAAAGGTGAAATACAATAACGAATGAGTTGTTTGGAGTCACTCGAGTCTCTGACAAGATATATGATATTATTTTAAGGAGCCATGCTAATTGGAGAAAGAGAGAGAGATACGAGACTCTATAGAAAGATATAGAAACGTATGTTTGTTTTATAATAGTTCTGAAAGATCTTTACTAATTAGGGAAAGAGTCTAATCGAATGACTAACTCGTTAACAGTTCGAATCTTCGATTAAGAAAGCCAATCTTCTGCAATGATGATATTGCTATTAATTCAATTCGGAATCCCTAATTTCTGCTAAAGCTTTGGAAACTTATTAAAATCTTATAATATCCAAGTGTCGGAATCAATATCTTCTTGGAACCACGAGAAGTATCTAGTTGCAACAATTATTTTGTTCCCAGTGAAAAAAACTCCTATATAGACCTGTTGAGAAGAAATCGTGCCCTTGTTATATCAATATGATAGATGATCTCACCATGTATGATCTTGGTGAGATTATAGTTGATTAAAATTTTGGTTGATGCAGCTGTTGCTGAGTTGACAATCTTTGGACGATTGGGAAACGAGTCGTTCGTGAGAGGAGATCCAACTGAAGTGGGAGAAAGTTTGTAGCTTTTGTAAAAGTTTCGCAGTTTTTGGAAGTTATTCTATCGAGAAAAAATTTCGGGTTGATAATGCATGGAAAACGAGTCGTTCATGAGCGGAGATCCAACTGAAGTGCGAGAAAGTTTGCAGCTTTTGTGAAAGTTTCGCACTTGTTGGAAGTTATTCTATCGAGAAAAATCTTCTGGTTTATAATGAATGGAAAACGAGTCGTTCTTGAGCGGAGATCCAACTGAAGTGGGAGAAAATTTGTAGCTTTTGTAAAAGTTTCGCAGTTGTTGGAAGCAGTTCCCTTCAGAAAAAGCTTTGTTTTGATAAGTTTTTTATCAAGAGTTCTTGAGCGGAGATCCAATTAAAGTGAAATTTTGTAGCTTTTGTAAAAGTTTCGCAGTTGTTAGAAGCTTTTTTCTCGATAGGTTAGAAGCTTTTCTCTCGATAGGTATGGAAAACGAGTTCTTCTTGAGCGGTGAACCAAATAAAGTGGGAGGAAGTTTGGGGCATTTGTAAAAGTTTCGCAGTTGTTGAAAGCAATTCTCTCGAGAAAAAACTTTGGGTTGATAATGAATGGAAAACGAGTCAGCAGAGATAGGAAGTGGGAGGAAGTTGGAAGCAATTCTCTCGAGAAAAAATCTTCTGATATTTTATATAGATTATAGTTGAACATTGGACGAAAATGCATGATTTTGTAATAGTTTGGCTGTTATTGGGTTCTATTCCCAGGTGTTAAAATTTAAGTTGAGCTGTTGCTGAGTTGACAATCTACAGCCGATCGGGAATTCTACTTCTTGAGGGAGAATGTATGTTGTAGCAACCGTTTCGTTGTTGTTGGAAACTCTTACCTCTTGGAAAACTCCTGGTTGATATAACTTTTGATGCTTTGACAATTTTTGATCGATTTGGAATCAAGTGGGAGAAATGATTGTGAATCGGATGGTTTCAATTTTCGTGTTGCAACAGTTTTGCTGTTGTTGGAAGCTCTTTCCTGGGGAAAAATATTTGCAATTATGGAATTCATGCTTTTGTAACAGTTTCGCTGTTTTTAAAAGCTATTCCCAGGGGTTAAATTTTCTGGTTGATGCGTTTTCTGGTAGATGTTGCTGAGTTGACAATCCGCGATCGATTGGAAATCGGTTCGTTTCGCTTGTTGTTGAGGGAGAATGTATATTGTCGCAACCGTTTCATTGTTGTTGGATGCTCTTTCCTGTTGGAAAATCCTGGCTGATGCAGCTTTTGCTGGTTTGGCAATTTTTGGTCGATTGAGAATCGGGTTGCCCAAAAGCGAAGATCCACATGTTGAGGTAGATTGTATGTATGTTGTTGTAACCGTTTCGTTGTTGTTGTTGCCTGACAGTCGGTACATCTCTTGCTGTTAATACGGTAAAGTTTCGCAGTTGTTGGAAGTTTTTGCCTGTTGGAGAACTCCTGGTTAAGCAGTTTGTAGTTTTGGTAATTTTTGATCGATTGGGAATCGGGTTGTTCAGGAACGGAGATTTGTTGTTTGACACAGTTTGTAGTTGTAACAGATGCGCTGCTGATGGAAGCTCTCCTCTGGCGAAAAATACTTGCTGCTGGTACACAGTTGCTGAGTTTAGGATTAGTTTGTGGAAAAAAAAGTTTTCATATTGGACTCATCTTTCGAACATTCTCGTGAACGAATTCTACGCCTACTCTGACAAAGACATTTTCTCTGTGTGTCTGTTGATGGGTGAGTAATTGTGTCAGTGGTAGTGTTGGGTTGACTTAAGTTGTTATTGTTGATGTTGTTGTTGTATCCGTAGTAGTAGTAGCAGCAGAGTATCTCACATTTTGTATTAAATATGGTTAGAATGGTTAGAATTTTATTTACTTATTATTTATTTTGTTTTATTTTTGTTCGTATTTTTTTATAGTATAAAAGTGGCAATATTTTTGTTGTGTTTCGTTATTTTGTTGTTGGGGCAGTGAGAATGTCAGTGTATTTGAGAGTTGAGTTATTTTGTAGTTTTTAAAGAACATGGTGTTCAGTTTATATTCAATTGAGACTCGTGCCGGGTTAGTTTGTTGGTCATTTCAGTAGTAGTTTTTTACAGCGTTTTTTTACGGTTAAGGGTTTAAAAATAAGCGACAAAAACGTTTAACAAAAACCAAAAGTGCGTGAGCAGAAATATATTTTAAATGAGAAAAAGAAATATGAAAAAGTGTAGAAATCTTTAAAAGATATATAGTTTTAATTAACAAAAGTGTTAAAGAAATCTCAAAAAAAAAAAAAAAAATGTAAAATTTCTTTAAAAATTTTAAGAAAATAAATCAAATATTTGTGTAAAAAAAATATTGAAAAGGAAAATAAGCAATAAAATATTTATTAAATAAATTATTATGGGCAATCGTGTTAGTAATTTGTGGTGTAAAAAAACAAATTTGGCCATAAAAGATAAAGAGTTTAACGAGAATACGAAAGTGAAACGTGAATCGAAACGAAGATTTAGACAACGTCGTCTATCACTCAATTGTATAACACGTGAACCAAGTCAAAAAGCTTCGGAAGAACCCGTACTCGTGCATAAACCCTCGGCTTCATTACCGCGTCATACCAAACTCTCAACACCAGAAAGGAATTTTAATACCGCAGCAACAACAACAACAACTACAACATTACAACCTAAAGAAGTTCGTAAAGAAAAAGAAGAAGTAACAACAAATTTAGAAACAAAAGAATTACGCGAATCTCAATTAGTAAACGAGAATCTTAGGCAAGAATCTAAGGCGTATAGCTCCCTACCCCCTACTACCGCTAAAGAATTAAACACTGAACAAAAACCGGTTTTGCATAACAATTCTATATTCAATACAAATTCCTTTGGTGTCAACTTAACGTCGTCTCAACCACGTTTAAATTCTTTTACTCCCATCTCATCAACAACTCTATCATCACCTTCTTCAACTTGTTCCAACGCCACCATCGATGTGGTAGATTCACCCATACGTGTACTGGCAACAACAAAGACCCAAGATATTTTAACAAGTGAAAAATTGACGTGTACAACAAGTAGTATTTCCTCTTTGAAAACAAAAGCTACCATGAAATTTAATTCGGATTTAACCACTGTCAAGGTAAGAATCGTTCATTCATTTGTTTGTTTTTTTTTTTTTAAATTTCGACGTTGAGTTGAAATCACTCACTCCCTTCCATCATCATCAGTATTCATTAGATTTGTTTACATTTTTTTTTGTTTACCCACAACAACAACATTAAATTATAAATTTTAGTAGCTTTATTGTTTTAAACAATTATAATTTAAAATTAAATAAATAAATAATAAAATACAAACGAAACTTCACAAAATTGAAACAAATTGTTATTACGTTGTTTTAATTATTTCATTATTTGTTATTAAATTAAGTATTTAGGAAATGTTTTAAATTATGTATTAATCTCAAATTGTTAAGTAGTTTTTAAACGTTTAACCGAGTGGACCAATCATTTGTGTGAAGGGGGCAAAGGTTAACATCAGATAAATTTCGTATCTGAGAATCCTTGTTTATAGAACTTTCAATAAGAATTAACTGAACAAAACCTTAAGGATCAATCACAGAATTTCAATGTTTGTTATATACGATCATGCTAATCGTTCCATTGTAGCTGATCTACAATCGATATTCATTATTCTGTAACATTAATTTAGACTAATACAAGAACTATTTCTCCAGAACTATAAATCCAGTCGTGGTGATCGTTTCTGTTTACGATCATGTAAAGTCAAACCCGAGAATTGTAAGAAACTTTCAAATTTGTTGCTTTCGGGAAATGATCGGCTGAAGGTTAAACATTAACATAAGGATCACTTCAAAATTTCAATGCTTGCTTAATACGATCATACTAATCGTTTGATTGAAGATGATCTACAATCGATCTTCAATCGATACTATATATTTTGGTAAGTTTAATATGGATTAATACGAACTGTGTCATTAAACATGATCTATTTTTATGAATTCCTAAATACAGTCGTGGTGATCGTGTAAAGTTGAAATTAAGAATTGTATGAAACTTTCATGATCATGACTATGTGTCATATACAGTCGTGGTGATCGTTTATATTTACGACCGTTACGATTGCAAAACTGTTGCTTTTGGGAAATTAAACCAATAATTGTGAGAAATTTTTATTCTCTCCTTCAATTAGCTGAGGTGATCTCTTTAAGATCTCCTTGCATTGAATTTGTCCAAATTGCCACGAAAACATCTGTTCTTTAGTTACGAAATCCTAAATTTAATGGAGATTTTAACTGGTTAATTACAATTCTTGTTTATAAAATTCTTGACAGGAATTGGAATATGATCATGCTAATCATTACATTAATGATGATCTACAATCGATATTCCTTCAATACTCTGTTATGAATTATAAGGCGTTGCAGCAATCGATTCGATTTTTACTGCTACTTTTTTAAAGCCCCCTTGGGCAAGATACCTTGATGAATTATCCTTCATCTTGGCGTTATTACAATTCCGGGGTAAAAGTGGTACTACATGTATCTTAAGTCTGTCGGGACTATAAAATGGTAGTGTCTCCTGTTCTTTGGAATCGTTTTACACACGGTTAAAACAAAGGAGATATTATATCTAGTACTAAGGGAACCGGTGGCTGACACGGAAGAGTTTCAGACTTTGTCTTGTGCCTCTTATCGATATTCCTTCAATACTCTGTTTTTTGTAAGATTGGAATCATAAAATATGAATTGTAAGACGTTGCAGCAATCGATTCGATTTTTACTGCTACTTCTTTAAAGCCCCTTGGGCATGATACCTTGATGAATTTTCCTTCATCTTGGAGTTATTACAATCCCGAGGTAATACCTCTACAAGTAATTTAAGTCTGTCGGGACTAAAAAATTTGACTCCTCGTTTATTCCTTGGAATCGTTTGACACACGGTTAAACTAAAGAAGATATCTTATCTAGTACTATGGGAACCGGTGGCTGACAGTGCAGAGTTTCAGACTTTGTCTTGTGCCTCTTAATGGGTCGCATGTGGTGATTGTGGTTAGACCGAAATCACAGAAAGATAATGTTGGTTTAAAGACTGATAAGTCAATATTTTAGAATAAGCTTGATGCTGTTACCGAAAAAGTCAACAGGTTCAGAGGAGTGACTGTGGGACTAAATGTTGTTAATGAATTGATATCGATGTTCAAATATATAATAGCTTAAGTACTTGAGCAAAGTGCTTGTACATGGTCCAGTTTCGCAATGTACGAAAATTGTCACCTGCTCGCTCTTTAAAGATCACTAGGGGAATCTGAAGTTTCGTCTCGTATTCACTTAATGCACTTCGGCATCTATTTGTTCATTCAAGATTATGTTTTCAACGTGCGAGGTATGGTTCATGTGGTTCAGAAATAGTGTTTTAAAAATGAAAGACAAAGATCTCCGAAATTAGCCGAACAAGTTTGAAGTCGAAGATTTCGAGGCTTTGTAACATGAATATTGTTGTCAAACTCAAGAAGAGCTTGCAAAAGTATTGAGAGCTGCTCAAGCAGTAGTTTCGAAACATTTGCGGCAAAGACATTGGTTACAATACGAATTGAAGCTGAGAGACGAAGAAATACAATTTAGCATGTCCAAAATGCTGCTTGTACGCTATAAAAGAAAATCATTTTTACAATCAAAAGTACAATAGATTCATTATGTTAACCAGTAGCGTAGAGATCGTATGTGAATCGACATTCAAGCCAAATATCCATGGCGTTAAGGAATTGCTCTGTATTTGGTAGGATTAAAAAGGTCATATCTGATTCATTACTTTATCCAGTAGCGTAGAGATTGTATATGAATCGGCATTAAAGCCAAATATCCATGGCGCTAAGGAATTGCTCTGTATTTGGTAGGATCAAAAAGGTCCTATCTGATATGAGCAGCTGAAATTTGGCCAGACAACTACAGAAATCTGTGCCGAATACAACTGTTTCGTTTTAATGAAGAATTGGCCGAAAAGTGCCAGACATGAGACTCTGTCATTAAAATGCTCGATCACATGTTGCAATACTTGTTTTACCTCACCTACCATATTACCTAGACCTTGCTCTTTCAACTACTATTTGAATTGATCTGGGATACGCGTCATTTTAGAACCAGGTCTATAAAATTGAATAGTTCTTGGTCTCAAAAGATGACTAGTTATTTTGAAGTGGAATCCACATGTTGTCAGAAAGATCGGAAAACTTTGGTCAATATTATAAATAAAGTCTAAAAATTTTAAAAATTCCTCATTTTTAAGTTATACATGTCTGAAACTGGGCGTGGGAACACGGTCAATATTAATACTTTGACAGTTCTTCTTCCGGAGATATTAAATTCCACATTTTCTTTTGAAGGCTTGCAAGTGGCTACATATATCCCATAAATCATTGTCAAGTATTTGTAGATAAAACCTAACTTAAAAGTCTATTACTTTACCCTTGAATTAAAAATAAACACAAATTCCAAAACGAAATTCTATTCACACCTGTTCACAAAAAAAACTACTTGTTAAAAAAAATCAGCTAACTGTATAATTTCTAAAAATTCTATAATCGTGTCATTAAAATTTAAATTCTTATTCAAGGTTTGTATTTATTTCGTTAAAAAAAACACAAAATATGTGTTATTTTCGTGTGTTTTAAAATTTTTTCAAAAACACCTTAAATTACCAGTATTTCGTAATAAAATTTTTAATTTTTCTAATAACAACACAAAAAAAACATTGTATTTTAACTAATTCATTAATATTGTTTTAATTTGTTTTTAACAAATTTGTATTTATTTGTTAATAAAATTTTAAAATGTGTATTTAAATAGTAGATGATGATGATGATTTTGACAAATGTTTATTTCTGTGGTATTTATTATTATGAGTTTCACTGTGTTTTTCTTGTTGTGCCCCTGGCACCTTCTCGCCCTAGTGTCAACAACGTGTTGTGGGGTTTTTCGTAATGTCAACAAAACATCTGGTATTAAACAGTAAAAAAAATTATTTAATTTTTTTTGTTTATTAGTATTTGGCATGCTACAGTGCAGGGTGTTGGTGATATTATTGTAATTGATGGGTTTGACAGTGCTTTTTTTTTGGAATTTTGAATATAAATAATAGATGAGAAATAACGGGCAGAAATAATGGTCGAATTCGTACAGTTTTCGCCCTCACCCATAACTTTAAAAGGTAACTTTCTCCTACACATTTATTAAAATTCTGAACTTAAAGTACCGGATCCAAGTTACAGTTTGCGGGTTAAAGAACTTTAACTAGAGAGTAAGAGTCGAGTATGAGTAGAGAGTAGAGTAAGAGTTGAGTAAGAGTAGAGTAAGAGTAGAGTAGAGTAGAGTAGAGTAAGTAAGAGTAGAGTAAGAGTAAGTAAGAGTAAGAGTAGAGTAGAGTAAGAGGTAGAGTAGTAGAGTAGTAGGTAGAGTAGAGTAGAGTAGAGTAAGAGTAGAGTAGAGTAAGAGTAGAGTTAGAGTAGAGTAGAGTAAGAGTAGAGTAAGAGTAGAGTAAGAGTAGAGTAGAGTAAAAGAGTAGAGTAAGAGTAGAGTGAGAGTAGAGTAGAGTAGAGTAAGAGTAGAGTAAGAGTAGAGTAAGAGTAGAGTAAGAGTAGAGTAAGAGTAGAGTAAGAGTAGAGTAAGAGTAGAGTAAGAGTAGAGTAAGAGTAGAGTAAGAGTAGAGTAAGAGTAAGTAGAGTAGAGTAAGAGTAGAGTAGAGTAAGAGAGAGTAGAGTAAGAGTAGAGTAGAGTAAGAGTAGAGTAAGAGTAGAGTAAGAGTAGAGTAAGAGAGAGTAAGAGTAGAGTAAGAGTAGAGTAAGAGTAGAGTAAGAGTAGAGTAAGAGTAGAGTAAGAGTAGAGTAGAGTAAGAGTAGAGTAAGAGTAGAGTAAGAGTAGAGTAGAGTAGAGTAAGAGTAGAGTAAGAGTAGAGTAGTAGAGTAAGAGTAAAGTAAGAGTAGAGTAAGAGTAGAGTTAGAGTAGAGTAAAAGAGTAGAGTGTAAAGTAAGAAGAGTAGAGTAAGAGTAGAGTAAGAGTAGAGTAGAGTAGTAGAGTAGAGTAGAGTAGAGAGAGTAGAGTAAGAGTAGAGTAAGAGTAGAGTA